GTCTTCCCACCCTGGTTTCTGACCTTGGCGTAATAGACCTACCTTGGTTGTACATTCAGACAGTTTAAAAAGTATAGCCAGTAGATGCCTGAATTATGGGCTTTGTCCTCAGGTTTTCTCTGTCCTGTTGTTAGAGGAGGCGAGAGCTTAATTGTATGCCGTTGAATCAGACCTCTTAGCTTTCACATTGGGATCTGCTGGCTGTGACGCATTCTTAGCTGCTCTTTATCTTTCTGTGAAGTTTCAGTTGTACTTAGCTATAGATGTCCAATCCAAATAATTACCATTTCCTGTGCCATCTTAAATGCCCAGACACTGAACTCATTAGAGCTTTCTTTTCTACAATTCTACCCAGTGACTACAGAAGACAATGATGAGAGAGTAAGTCGCAGTCCTTGTTGTGGTTCAACTGAGAAGGCCTGCTGACGTTTCATTGTAAGCACTGGTTACTGACCTGTGAGATTCCCTGGTATACAGGCCGGTATGTTGTATTCACATCTTGGTACGTGGGGTTGAAGCCTGGTCTTTCTGTCCTTCTCCTGTGGAAATATAAACAATACCTTCCCCTTGGGTGGATTAGAGCCCTGCTCCCCACCTACCCATGCCTTTTTTTCCCTCTTTCTCTCCCCCTCTTATTTAATTGGCTGCTGTATGTATCCTTGGATTGGGTTTGGCCCTGCCGTAGTTGGTGGACATCCGCCCAGGGATGTATGTATATAGTAACTTTTCCCCTATGCCCCATTTTGTTTGTTTATTTTTGTTTTGTTTTTTAACCTTACCTCAGTGGGCTCATGTTGTACTTGGCCTTTTGTGTTTGACTTACTTCACTGAGCATGATTTCCTCCAGTTCTTCCCATGGAGCAATGTAAATATAATTTTTATGTGCACTGAGAAACCAGAAAACTTGTGGGACTCCTTTTATTGGATGGAATGGAACCGGTAACTTCTCTAAGGAATGTCTTTACTAATTTCACAGGTTCTATGTAAAGCAAAGGGATTCTGAGGCAGCAGCAAGTGTCTGAAAGATGGCCCACCAACATGCTTCCAAGTAATTCTTACTGTGAATTACCCAGTGAACCCTCACCACTTCGCGCTTCGACTTCCACGGCTTCACTCTATCGCGGTTTTTGCGGAACAGCGCATGCTCTGTCATTACTGCCACTGATTGGCTCATACTGTACACGCTTGGTGCCATAAATAATATAATAAATAATAAATGATAATTGTAACGTCCAAAATGTTTTACTGTATTTTCCCTTTTTTGTTTAATAAATTGGGTAATACGAGTGTAATTGTGACTAAAGGGTGTTTTTTCATGTCCTCTATGCTCTAACTACGAAAATCTTTGATTTACAAATAAGGAATCCTACTTCGCGGAATTTCATTTATCACGGTAGGGTCTAGAACCGATTAACCGCGATAAACGAGGGTTCACTGTACTCTGATTTCTTTTTCAAATACCTACCTATCCACCATGGTCAAGTATCTCTCTACCCAATCATCTTGAGAGACAATAGATTGGCTCCTATTATCTTGTAACCAAATAATCTCCTGCTGGGTTGAAAATATGCAGAATTGCAACACATGATCAGTGTTTCCCTGGCTAAAAAGGATTAGTAACACTGCATAATGCACAAAGGATTACATTAAGTATTCATCTGGAAATTGGTAAATCACTACATGAAGGGTATAATGTTTAATTCTGTGGTGTATATGAGGCTTAATGTTCAAAATCTACCAAGCTATTAGAGGATGATGGGGTGTTTTATACATCATACATATAGTCATTATTCATCCACTCTGGGGACTCACCTCTTGAAAACCACCGTGAAGGTCAAACATACTGTAGTAAATATCAACATTGTAAAAATAAATAATTAGCTGATGCCAGGGGCATAGGTGGAGAGCAAAGGTTTTGAGAATGATGAGGGCAATGAATGTACAAATGTGTTTTACACAATCGATGTATGTATGAATTGTGATAAGATTTGTCTGAGCCCCTAATAAAATGATATAAATGAATAAATAAGATGCTATGAAGGATGCAAGAATAAAAAGGGTAACAAAAATATGGGAACAAAGCATAGGGAAGTCTGAGAAGTAGTAAGTTATCTTTCTTTCATGTATGATTTGCCATGCAAGAAAAGGTCTCATGTTTAGAATACCTCACATGTTTATAACAGGTCAAGCACCATTAAACCCGTTGCCATCCAGTGGATTTTATCTCACAGCAGCCCTATAGGACACAGTCCAACTGCCCAACAGGATTTCCAAAGCTGCATACCCTCCAGAAGTAGACTGCCACATCGGTCCCCCATAAAGTGGATGAGCGGTGGGTTTGAACACAGATCTTTTGGTTAACATCCAAGCACTTACCACTAAACCGTACTGATAGGTGAGAATAGTTATTAATTCTCTCCATCCTTTCAATCCCACTCTCTTGAAATAACCAATATTAACAGCATCTTCCTGGAGTCCCTCAGTAGTATAAATGATTAATGCACTCAGCTGCCCCCTGAAAGGTTGGGGTTCAAGTTGGCCCTGCAGTACCTCTGAAGAAAATGCCTAAAGATCTAATTCTGAAAAACTAGGCCCTGCAGTACCTCTGAAGAAAATGCCTAAAGATCTAATTCTGAAAAACTAGGCATTGAAAATCCTGTGGGGCACAGTCCTACCCTGATACAGGCTCATAGCAACACATGGGGGGTTGCCACCATCTATGTCAACCCGAAAACATCATTTTTTGTTATTTATCTGTTTATGCATACAAAAATATTTTTAAAGATACATAAGATGAAGATATATAGGATATAAGATTTAACTTTAACGAAATATTATAGTCATTATTCGGCAATTTACTTTACTATAGATTACTATAGGTCACTCTCCACTTTGGGACCTATAAATATAATGGACAACTTTTTTTAACCTAATTACTGAGAGTTAGGCTGAATCAAAATTTAGTCAGATTTTTCTCCTGATTTTTTCCATCTATCTGTCTATCTATCTATCTATATACATATATATATACTTCTGCAAAATTGAATTAAGTTACAGAATATGTACATATTACATTTTAATATCTACAGCTAAATTACTTCCCCAGAATACTATACCAATTTAAACTTTCATTGGCCAGAATCAGAGGATGGGTAGGCCCCAATTTACCATCTTCATTTTGTGGGTGGTCTGGAAAAACAAATTCAGACACTCATATGTGTATCAGAAAGAGCTTTATATATAAAAGTAATTGTATATGAAGAAAACATTCCAGCCCAGTCCAGATGAAATCCATATGTCCGATATTAGCCCATATGTTCGATGCCAGTCTGTACATTCATCTTCAGACTCATGCAACACATGCAATGACACTGAGTGCAGGAAGATCACAGGCTAGTGAGTGGAAAGTCTGTGGATTCAATGGTGGTGGAAGCATCTTAACGATGGCATTGGTCTCCAGGTGGTGCCTCCAAATGAGGTCATCAAGTTGCCATTTGATTGACAGGCTAGATTCCACTCCTTTGCAAGTTGACAGGAGTTTATGTAACTACCACACCATCCAATTTCTGTTCCAGTGAATCTACCATAAGTCAGTTCTGATGTACAGTGAGTGCTTTTTAAAAAAAGTTTTTATTATCATTGTCTTTTGTTATCAGAATCTGTATAAATCTGACCTTTCTTATCATTGGGCATTGGGAACCTTATATATAAACTTAGAAATATATTTTCATTATGCATCCATTAAAAACACACATTATAAAAAGTGTGCGCCAGCAATAAAGAAAAGTTAGACAATGTTGGCATTTTGTCAATTGGGGTAGCAATTCCATTTATTGAAGGCTCTGGATCATCAAGAAGGAGAATGACATTTCTATTAAAAAAATCAGTGGGAGCTGTCTGTATGGTCCTTTTCTTCATTCCTTCTTATTTTGTAGTAAAAATCACTTCCAAAATCTACCTAACTCCAAGAAAGTGATCAGTGTTTGACTCCATGACTTAAAGCAACAGAAATCTCCGATGTCGTTTGTTTTCTGTCATGTTTTTCAGTAATATTTTAGCATTGTCTTCACTTCGAACTCAGGTGTTTATTGCATATTCCTGACCGTTTAGTATTTGTCTTGAAATTGTAACCAACACAATCCTATTCTACACTAGCGTTTGGTGTAGGAAATTGCTCTTGGAGGCTCTACCGTGCAGTCGTGCAGGTTTTTGACCCTAAACCTCAGCTGCCTGCTTTCAAACCTAGTCCTTTCTCTCACGAGCTCCATGCGTGTGGGTTAGTTCACTCCTCTCTTAGCATTTTTCTTCAACTCTGAAGCAATGATTGTCATGAGCGGCGTGATCAATAATTACTTAACGCTCTTAGACTTTTTCGAATGCTCGTTTTATTCACTGCAAACACACATCAAACAATCTAAAATATTACTCAAACTATTAAAGGCAAACAACTATAAGCATAAGGGCAGAATAACAACTATGAGCATAAAGGCAGAATAACAACACTCTTCACACATTTCATATTAGCACCATAGTCCTAATCAGCATTGCCTCATAGGTGTGCTCACCCCTGGGAGAGTTGGAGAGAGCAGGAGATGATGTCTCCTTGGTTCCTAGCTCTCTAAAAGTCAGTGTCTCTACCCGGGTTTAAATTGACATTTTGGCTGGCTCTTTGACGTATTTACTGTCCCAGTCAAGTCTTATCGGGTTTGTCCACGCTTTAGGTGGCTTGGCTAGTTTTTAGACTTCGGTCAAGTCTCAGCCCAGTCTTATCGGGTCTTTCCATGCTTTAGGTGACTCGGCTAGCTTTTGGGTGTCGGTCAGGTGTCAGCTCAGTCTTATCAGGGGTCACACGTTTTTGTGGTGGCTTCTTTGATGTAAGTGTTGATCTGGGGCCCAATATTACATTTTATTTTTTCTTTAAAGTGGAGTTTCTTGTGTTTGTTTCTTTGATGTGGCTCAACGTCTTGCAAGGTAGTTCAATGTCTTGTAAGGTAGTTCAACATCTTACAAGGTAGTTCAACGTCTTGCAAGGAAGTTTTATGGTGCTCTCATCAATGATGAAATTTACTTCTCAAGTTTGTTATGGGGATTAAGTGAGAGAATAACATGACATCTTCAACAGAAACTCCACGCTGTCCCTGACTTAGCACAAAGACAATGACGATGATGTAACGATGTTACGTAGACACTTGAACTGTCTTTATGGTTCTAGGTGGAAAATGATGTCCTCTCCTTCATTGTGATGTTCTTGTTATGTCTTATTGGGCTCATTCTGACGGACAATGACCCTATATGATGACAGAGCACACCTGCTTTATATGCTTTCTAGGCTGTAATCTTAACACTAGTGGATTGCCACATCCTTCTCTTCTATAGAGCCAGGGATGGGTTCTAAGCACTGACCTTTCCGTTAACACTCAATTGCTTTATCTATTTTGCCACCAGAATTTCTTTGACAGTGGTAGATTCCTCTTTTTCTTTTCAGTGTTTACATATTTCTTTATTTTCCTGGCTTTTATTACTCCATGTGAGACTGCCATTATGGTGCTGAATTGTAAGGGGGCCAGCTGTGGCCCACCTCATGGTCTTGGTGCTACAGCTGCCAAGATAAGAGGGAGAAAGGAAAACAAATATATGTTGAGTAACTGCTCCATATGAAGCATATTCACGTAAGGTGCTCCAATACACTATCTGTTTAAACCATCTCAAAAAGCTACGTGTCTTTAGGAAAACGCAACAGTCGCCAGTTAGTGCTCAAGCCCGGTTTACCAAGCTAGCTCTACAGCAATCTGCCTCTTCGATTCCTCATCCATGCAAGACTTTTCTTCACACCCAGCTGTGGACTGAAAATGATGTATTCTTCAAGAGACTATTATTACATTCTTTTTGCTATAGCTTCCCACAGACTTTTCAGACTAATATCTTGCCTCAGTGTGATTGCTACTGAATTTTGCACTTCATTACTGCGAATGACAGAACAACTAGCTCCAGACAATGTAATTTGGACAACACAAGCAATTCTTGAGATTAAATTAAATGTTAATAAAAGGTCTTCCTATGAGAATTATTCAATGCTATACACAGATCCTAATTTAGTTTCATCTTCGATGCAGGACAGAAGCGTTTTTTGGGTCACTAATACTGTATCTCAGATTAAATCAAAACATCTTTTTATGGATGTAAAAATCTGCACAATTCAAACATGACCTTAGCGAGGAATTTGGGATCTAACTTGAGATTTATTCATTAAAATGAAAAGCATTTGTCTTGCATACAGTGGTGACTTCCCTGTTACTGTGATGCTGGAAGCTATAACAGGGTCATCCACGATGAACAGGATTTTGTAGAGCTTCCTAACTAAGAGTAGGCTAGGAAGAAGGAAAAAGTGGTCTGCTAAAAACCTTGTGAATAGCAACGCAACACTATCTGATACCATACCAAAGGACGAGTCTCTCCAGTTGGCAGGTCCTCAAAACACTACTGTGGAAACCTGCCTATTCAGAATGGTGTCAACCTAATGACATGGATGGAGCAACGTGTTTGGGACCTTCATTTGCTGTTAGGGCATAAACTGAAAATGAGAAGGAACATTTACATACATCGATTAAGAATTGGAATGTGAAATATACAAAATAGGAATCTAGGAAAATTAGAAGTTGTCAAAACGAAATGGGACACATGAAGATCAATCCATGCACTGGTAAGCTAAAATAGTCTATTTTAAATCAGGAAACAAGAATGACAAGTTCAAGAGAAATGGCACCACATTCACGGTAAAAAAAAAACCATAGTAAAATATCTGTATACTAACCAGGAAGACCAGTTAATAAAACTAGCATTCAAACTTACATACCAATTACTAAAGTCAGTGATAATTAAATTGAAGAATCCTACGAGATTCTTCTGTCTGAACTTGATCAAGCATGCAATCAAGATGCACTGATAAGTACTCGTGATTAGAATTCAAAAGTATAAAACTCAAGTGCAAAGTTGAAAATAGGAAAAATAAGTAGTTTTCAATATATGGCCTTGGTCATAGAATAAAACTGGGAATCCCATGATAGAATTTTACAATATCAATAACTTCTTCATTGCAGATTTTTTTTCCCAACAGCGTAAGTGACAACTATATATGTGGACTTCAACAGATGGAATAAAATAGACTACATCTTTGGGACAAGTTATGGAGAAGTTCAATATCATCAGCCCAAACAAGACTGGGGCAGACTGTGGAACAGACAATCAATTGCTTCGTGCTAAAGCTGAAATAAACTAAAATAAGTTCATAGGAGCCAAAATACAATCTTGAGTATATCCCACCTGAATTTAAAGACCATCCCTAGAATATATGTGAAACATTGAGGAAGAGTTGAAGACCAGATGAGTTGGTTTGACATCCAGAGCATACTACATGAAGGAAGAAAAGATCATTTAAAGGACAAAGATTTCCCTCTATCCATAATGGAGGGATGGAAATAAACTGCTTCCCAAACAGTATATTGGAGAGATGACAACAGGAGATGAAAATAATAAACCTGACTCGGACAGCTAAAATCTTGTTACTTGATCCCCCTCTGATATGGTTTTCAACATTTTCTGTTTTTGTTTGTTTTGTTTTCATATCAGGGATTATCTGATGACAAAAAATGTATTTTGTCATTGGGGTAGCCCTCATGAATTTTTGTTATATGGGGTTTTTTTTCTGTTTATCAGGATATGAAACCCAGGATTGATGAACCTTTAGAGAAAACAAGTAGAATATAGTTTCTTGGGGGAGGGGGGTTAAAAAGGAGCTGATATTCAGGAGTCCAAGAAGAAAGAAAATGTTTTGATACTGATTGTGGTAGCGATTGTACCATACTGCTTGATGTGATTGAACTATGGAATGATGTGATGTCTGGATTAGCTTCCAACAAATGGTTTTTTTTAAAAAAGACAAAAAAGAAAAGACCAAAGTGGGTGTCAGAAAACACTGAAAATTGCTGTTGAATATAGAGTAGAGAAAGACATAAAAAATAAAGTAAGAGAGCTGAAGAAAAAAGTTCAAAAGGCAGCTTGCGAAGACTAAGTAAAGCATTAGAGGGAAAAGTACAAAGGCTTGGAGTTAGAGAACCAAAAGAGAGGAATACACTCGGTGTATCTCAAGCTGAGACAACTGAAGAAACAAGTCACACTTTGAGTTGAAATATCGAAGGATCCTAGGGGCAAACTACCTTGCTTCAGGCAAGTGAAACACTTGCTGATGAAGATTAAGGGTTGCAGCCTTCAAGATGGGTTATACCTCAATGGATAATGAAAACCAGACTCCTCTCCATTGGATGAGTAGGTAACCTCATAATAAACAGAAAAGATTGAAGTTGTCAAGGATTTCCCCTTGCGTGGGTCCACAATCAGTGGTCATGGAAACAGCAGTAAAGAAAACAAAGAACACATTGCATTGGGCACATTTGCTGCACAAGACCCCTTGAAAGTGTGTGAAAGCAAGGATGTTATTATGAGAACTGAGGTGTGCCTGACCCAAGGCAGGTTATTTTTCCATCACCTCATATGCATGTGAAATTTGAACATTGAATAAGGAAAACCAAGGGGAAAAAACGATGCATTTGAATTATGGTGTTGGCAAATAATATTGAAAGTACCATAAGCTGCCAAGAAATGATCAGAGCTGTCTTGGAAGAGGAAAAGACAGAATGCTTCTTATAGGCAAGGATAGCAAGACTTTGTCCCGTGTACTATAGGCATGTTGTGAAGGGAGGCCAGTCCCTGAAGCAGGACATTGTCTGGTAAAGCCGAGGGGCAGTGAAAAGCAGGAAAACTCTTGACAAGAGGGATTGATGCAGTGGTTACATTGATGGCTTCAAACATAAGAACAATTGTGAGGATGGCGCAGGGCTGGGCAGTGTTTTCTTCCATTGTACATAAGGGTGCTATGAGTCTGAACCAACTGCAAAGCACCTAACAATCGTGAACAATGGGCAAAATATTGAATGATGCAGGAAGCATTAAAAGAAGATGGAAACAATAAACAGAGTCAGTGTTGTGGAAAAAAAGTGGTTAGTATTCAGCCATTTTAAGACGTAACATGTGATCAAGTTTCAGTGGTGACGAAGGAAAAAGCTACCCTGAAGGCACTGGTGAAATATAAGGCTTCACTACTTAATGGAACATACTGTTCCAACAAACTGATGTAGCACTGGATTACCTGGCCGAATGTCTGAATGAGATCCAGATTTGTGCCATTCCAAACAAGGATGACCACAAGAATGTGGAAGTTAATTGAACAGTACCATTAAGAACACATGCAAGTAAAATTTTGCTGAAGATAATTCCCAAATGCTTGTAATGGTACATCAGTGACTGTTAAAAAATAAAATTATTTTGAAAGGAGTACATGGAGCCATTGGTATCAATGCTAATATTAGATGGATCTTGGAGGAAGAAGAAAATACTAGAAAGGTGTTTACTTGTGTTTTCGGACTATGCAAAGGCACCCTACTATGTGGCTCTAGCAATGGATCATATTATAAGAATAGGATTTCAAGAGCCTATGGAACAAGTATCTACTCCAAGCATCAGTGGTTCAAACAGAACAAGGGGCACCGAATGGTTTAAAAGTCAGAAAAGGTGTGTGACAGGGTTTTATCATTTCACCACCCTTATGCAGTCTATACACTGAGAAATCATCCAAGAAGCTGGATTACACGGAGAAAACCATCACATCCGAATTGGAGGAAGGCTCATTAACCCCCTGCAATACGCAAATGACACCAGCCTGCTTGTTGAAAGCCAACAGCACTCAAAGCTGTTTACCGATGAAGATCAAAGACTACAGCTTTCAGTGTGAATTATGCCTCAGCATAGAGAAAACAAAAATCCCCACATCTGGACAAATGAGCAACATTACAATAAACAGAAAAGTTTGATGGCAAGGACCTCATTTTACTTGTATCCATAATCCATGCACGCAATAATTTTTAAAAAACCAAAGCATTGGGTAAATTGGTTGTCAAAAGATCTCTTTCAAATGCTCAAGAGCAAAGGTGTCAATTTGAAGACTAAGGTCTGCCCAAATTAAGCCATGATGTTTTCAGTCCCCTCATCTGCCTGTGAAAACCGGACATTGAATAAGAAATAGCAAAGGTGAAATTACAATGTTGGTAAAAATACTGAAGATACCATAAACTGACAGGAGAATGAGGAAATCTGTCTCATCGGAAGTATCGGCAGAATGCTCCGTAGACATGAGGTAGGGTGACTTCATCTCGCCTGCTTTGGACATAGTATCAGAAAGGACTACTTCGTGGAGAAGGCTATCATGGTTGGTCAAACTAGAGGGTCAGTGGAAAGAGAACCATCAGTTAGATGACCTGACCCCGTGCCTCCAACAATGAGCTCAAACATGTCATCATTATAGGCATTGTGAAGATAGCACAGGACTGCGTCATGTGTTCTGTTGTACATAGGATTGCCGTGACTCGGAAGCAACTCGATAGCAACTGAACAAGTCGTGAATACTAACTGACAGATTGGTGGTGGGAACCTTCGGGTGGCACCTCAAAGGCAGGTCATGCTATCTGCTTCTGAAAGGGCAGTCATGGA